CCACATCCACGAAGTCCAGCTCGGGGAGGACTTTCTCAGTGTAACCACGGAGGGGACTCTGGCCAAAGGAGCCACGTTTCTCAGCATCTGACAGCTCATCCCAACGGGAAGGCCCACCAGTGCCATCCCTGTGAGGGTCGTGGCGGTCAGTGGCAGGCCACTCCTTGTCCAAAGAGTGCTCCATCAGCCACATCTGAGACTCCATTCACGAGGGAGACCCAGGGGTCCTTGGGCACCTGGAGAAAACGTCGTAGCTTCTCCTCAGTCTACACTGCGCAGTATCTCAGGAATATATCTTTCAGAGGAAGACACAGAAGAGAAGATGGAGAGATACAGAACCAGCATCTTTCAGAGTCTCTGCCATGCCTAAGAAAATTTGTCATTCTTGTTTTCCCTGGGGGAAAGGAGTGTCATTCCAAATGAAGGGCTTCTCCCTTTTATGTTTCTTGTGTACACATTTGCTGCTGTCTTGTGTCAGGAGGGGCAGCTGTGGGTTGGGCTCAAGACTTGGAAAGCTCTCTTTGTTCTTTAGTATTGTCTGTCTTCTTCTGGAGCCTAAGTCTATGAGAAAACTGTAGGCTGGTCATGAAATAGTTTTATATTTGAGGAGTTGAAAACTTGTATCAATATTTTATGCACCTTTATAACTGTAAAACTTTGTAAGTTTTAACACAACAAACTATTCATGTGGTTTTAAACACATAAAACCATTTTTCTTGTTCTGGCGTTTCATTTTACTGTTCTAGCTGTCTGGTAAATCTCAGAGTTGAGTGATTATTCCGTTCTCTTTATTAGTACTTATTTAAAATTATTTTAGCCTCCTTATTTCCTTTGACTTTTTGTCCTATAAATTTCCATCCCACTATATTAGGGCATCCCACAAATTTCAGCAAGTACTAATTACATTTTTATTTCCATCTAAATGTTTCTTGATACTTTTCGATAACTTCCTCTCTGACTTACAGACTACTTAGAAGTCTATTTTTATATTTCCTAGAGTTTACAGTATGCCCTGTATTTTTTGTTTGTTTAGGAATTGCTTTATTTGTTTGTTTGTTATTTATTTCTGGTCTGTTTTATGTTTGGTCTGAACATATGTTCTGCATGCTTTAAAAGCATTTAAATCTGTGACATTTGTTTTCTGAACCAGGAAATGGTCACTTCTTTTTCCCCCCAGTAATCCTAGGTGCTACTTTCTAGAGTTGGACTTTCTAGAAGTGTCACCGACGCTGTTTACAGCATCATTCAGATCAGCTGTGCTGTTTCTCATTGTCTATATAATTTTCTGAGAGGGGTGAGGAGGTCCCCAAATATAACTGGATATATTTTGCTTTATGTGCTTCGAAGCTCTGTTTAGTGCTTATATATTAGGATATATATGTAAATACACACACACACACATACAGATTCTTGTATAATGTCCTTTGTGCCTATTTTCTTGTTTATGAAGTATAATTTATACTTATAAATAATTTATAATATAACCACAACTGTGTTTTATGCTTAATGTTTGAATGTACTGTCAAGTTGGACCTGACCCTCCAGATTTTCAGAGGCAATAAATTGCAGGAGAGGAGATTGCCCAACTTTCTCCTGCAGGGCAGGTAGTGGGTTTGAACTGCGTGCCTTTGGGTTAAAGTGCTCTGGTGACCTAATGGTAAGAAACTGTTCTGTAGTCCTGAAGGCAGGTTGTTCAAGGCCACCAGTCTTTGGGTTGGCAGTGCAACTCCTTACCACAAGGCCACAAGACCCCCAAATGTTTGCATGACTTTTTCCATTTTCATTTCAACCTACTTTGTATCACCATATTTGAGGTCAGTTCTTAGGAACCGCTTGATCTAAAACTTGGTCTCAAACTATTTATGATTTGTTTTCTGGTTTTCCTTTATTTTTACACTTTTGTGGGATTTTTTTGCTTTGTTATTTCAACATTTTAAAATTCCATATATATAATTTGAGTATAGGTTTTGGGGATTTTTAAATTTTTTTCCCCTCTCTAGTTTTATTTAGAGACTGTTTTCAGTATTTCAGTATATATACATAAACTAGGGAACTTTGATAAATGTCAATAGATGTAGGGGGCTTCAGGCCTTTTGTTAATAGGGTCGCTATGAATCGTGCTCCACTTGAAGGCAATCAGCAGCAGCAACTTACATGATCTTAGAACAATCTGCTGGTATCTACAGTTTATCACTTGGATTTAAATGTAGAAACCTTATTTCTATTCTGTCCCTTGAACTCGACAGTCTTTAAGTGTCTTTTTAAGCACCATGTTGAATGATAGGCTTTTCCCTTCACCTGTCAAACGTGTTTTTAAAAACTAATGCAGAAGTTAGTTGTAAAAAAGAGCAAGGGCTATGTGAGGACTGCCACTTCTGACCTTTACCACCTTCACAAAATGGAACTGTCCCCCTCAACAACATCCACAGCACAAAACTGATTCCTGGGAGGTCAGGCGTGTTCCCCACACTCTCATGCCTCTTTCTAGTCGCCTCAACTCACCAATCTTATTTCTTTACTGGGCCCACAATTTGATGTGGTAGCTCCCAGACCACACACAAGTACGATGAGGAAACCCAAAGATTATAATTGAGGTTAGGAACCATACAGTCAGGACAGCTTTTGAAATATGCTCACAAGGCACCTCAGCCTTGAGCCCCATGGCTTTAGGCCACTGTCACAAATTCTTAGTTCTTAGTTCATCAAATTAACAGCTCTTCCCTCCCCAGTCCTCCAACAAACTTGAGCAAAAGGCTCTTGGCTTCAGTACAATGGTGTAGCAATCTCAAGGTCCCATCTCGAGCTGAGTCTCGTTCTCCACGGTGGCTATTAGAGCCACTGCTTCTGTAGGCCCTCCCAGCAGGTCTGGCACCCTGAAGGACAGGTTGCATTCTTTGATTCTCTGATGGTGGAAGATCTTCCTTCTGCTACTGGATCTGCTCAAGTTAATTGTGAGACGAGACGAGCACCGTGTGGGTCAGCTTAGCACACCCTATGCTCATATTCCTTCCCTCCATCCACATGGCAAGGTCAATCAATGGCGAGGAAAGCCATTTTGAGTAAACTCAGCTCCACAATAGTTTACTGTTAGCATTTCCTTTCTGTTTGGAAAACTTCTAACCCTCATTGTGTGGTGTGTCTGCTAGTGATGAACTTTATTTTAGATTGTCAGGTGCATCTTAGTCTCTAGACTGACATCATTGCTTTTCAGTATCTGGAGAGGTCTCTGACAGCAGAGTTTCCAAATGTAATTTATCTTTTTAATTCCTGATGGATGATGCTAAGAGTGTTGATTGTGGAGCTGAGCAAGCTTTAACTGTTAACAACCTCAATCTTTTCTCCATCTATCATGGTACTGCCATTTGGCCTAATGGTGAGAATCTTTGTTTTCTTGATGTTGAATTTCATGTTGAAGACTACAGTCCTTGACCTTCTGCAGCAAGCTCTTCAGGTCCTCCTCAGTTTGAGCAAGCAAAGTTGTGTCACCTGTGTAACGTGGGTTGTTGAGTCTTCCTCCAACCTGAAGTCACATTCTTCTTCATAAAGCCCTGCTTCCCGAATGGTCTATTTTGCATAAATTGAAAAGGTATGGAGACAGGATGCATCCTTGATGTACTCCTTTCCTGATTTTGAACCATGCAGTGTTTCTCTGCTCTATTCTGAGGACTGCTTCCTGGTGGTCCAAGTGTAGGTTTCACATAAGTACAAAAAAGTGTTCTGGGATTCACATTTTCCTCAAGGTTAGCCACAATTTGTTGTAATCCACACAGTCAATCTATCTACCTTTGTATAGTCAATGAAACAGACATTCTTCTCGTGCTCTTTGCTTTCTGCCAAGATCCATCCAACATTGACAATAATGTCTGTAGCCATGACCTCTTCTAAACTTAGCTTTTATTTCTGGTAGTTGTCAATGTACTGTTCCAGCCATTTCTGGATAATCTTCAGCAAGATTTTGCTAGTATGTGATATTAGTGATGTTGTTTGATAATTTCCACACTCTGTTGGGTCACCTTTTTTTTTAAAGTGGGGATAAAAATCTCTTCCTCTCCAGGACTAACCTGTTTGTATGTGACAACTAAGGTTTCCCTAGGGAATTACCACAAATAGTCATTTTAGACATAATTTTAAGGAAATATATTTCTCTTTTATTCTATGTTGGTTTGCTTACAAAGTCCATACATGGTGTTACATACTGTCCTTCATTCCCATTGTGCTTCATATAATCATTATCATTCTGGGTTTTCTTTTCATTATCTTTTTTCCTTTTACATTGGTTGGCATACAAATTTAGTATAGTTTGTTTCATACATTCACATTTATTGTCATTTTTATCAGTCACCATGGATCTATGCTCACCATTACTCTGCCTGTAACAGTTACTATTATATTCTAGAAAGAAGGGTCACAACAGTGTGATAGTGGATCTAGTAAGATGGCGATAATGTTTTTCGCCGTCAATCCTTGCCTCTTTAGGAGTCTATGGGCATGTTTTTACAATTATTTTCTTGTTCTCACAAGGTGGGGAGAGTACTTTTTTTTAAATTGATCACACCTGACTTTTCCTCTCTGGGCTTTCCTGCTTTTTATGACACTCAGGAGATTCTAAAGAGGGTACTTTCTCCTTTTGCAGTGCTAAAATCTACTTAAGCTAAATAGCTTAGCAATGCTGTTGCCTACAACACCCTGTACTGTTTGAGAATATAGTCTCCCGCAAGTGCATCACTCCAGGTTCCGTATCCGGGTCAGACGCACATCTGTCAAGAAAAAACCGGAAGTTCTCACTTCCCTCGCTCCTATTGGTCTGCTCTGAAATTTCAGCCAATGGGAACCAGAGAGGAACCGTGGGGTTTGCCAATCAAGACAGTGCGGGGAATATAAATATTCAAGGGATTCCCTTCTTGTAATTCCAGATCTTGGGTGTCTTTGCTGTTTTCCTTTCTTCTCTCCGGGCTACAGGAGCTGAAACCCTCCCCACCTCCAGATGCAGCGGACTCTGGATGAAGGAGCTGAACCTCCCTCAGCTGCAGGAGCAGCCCTGGGAAGGTGCCAGAAAGCTACAATGAATCCAGCGTGTGCCCAGTCCACAGGTGAATAAGGGAGATGGATTAAAAAGGTGCGGGGGGTGTGCACCTCTAAGTGTTCACCTCTCCTGTTTTCTCTCTCTCTCTCTCCTGTCCCCAGTGGCTACAGAAGGCCAGCAACGGCAGGCCAGGGCCATGGCCAACACGTGAGGACCTTTGGATGTGCTCTGGAGGTGGAAAGGAGGAAAAGGCAGCTGAGGGAGGGGAGTCACCCCTGACTTTTCCACTCGCTGGCTGGCGTGGGAAAGATGGATGGAGAGAAAGACCCTGCCGGTCGCATGGAGGAGCCCCTGGTGGTGCTGTGGTTAAAACTTCACTCCACCTTTCGTGCAAACTGGAAAGGGCATGGTTCAAATACTCCCTGAGAGAATGCGGCCTATTGAGCCCAGCTCAGTGTCTGTCGTGGAGTGTGGAATGGATTCCAACTCCATTGGCTTCCCAAACAGTCACTGTCCACGGGGGGACACCATCATTTCTCCCAAGGAGGCTGCGGTGGATTTGAACCAGCAGAGGTGTGCAGTCTGGTCATGACAACACAACAAGCTATCCATCCACCGCACCACCAAGGCTCCTGCAGACAAGACAGGCTTTGGGAAGCCCAGGGGTACTTCCCAGTGAATTGGGATCACCTGGAAGTCATTGGGTTTAGGTTTCTGAGTCGGGATTGACTCAACAAAAATGTATCCTGATCAGATGAGCTGGCAGGCCCTTTAAGAGAACGGGTGCAGGGAATTCGGAACCTTCCATCAGTGTCTTTTTTTTCTCCCATCAGCCGGCGCTTTCGGCTTAAGGACTTCGAAATTGGGCGTCCACTGGGCAAGGGGAAGTTTGGCAGTGTGTACCTGGCTCGGCTGAAGGAGAACCACTTCATTGTGGCCCTGAAGGTCCTCTTCAAGTCACAGATGGAGAAGGAAGGACTGGAGCATCAGCTTCGCAGGGAAATTGAAATCCAGGCCCACCTGCAGTAACTACTGGTTCTGCTTGAGGTTTAGCTTTCCCGTTACTAGCTCCTAAGTACCCCTTGGCGTCTGCCACGAAGATTGCTTACACCTGCAATCCGATGAGGTTACACTTGTAAAGCTCCTCCTTGTGCCAGACTCAACTGAAGCCCACTACACGTTCTCCCTTTCTCTCATTCCGGTGGGGGAGGGGGTGGCGGGGGAGACCCTCTTGGTCTTTCAGTCTCAGCAGTTTGCTCCAAAGACCACCATCCGCATGGAGAAGGATGGGCAGTCTGCGACTGGACAGTTTCCATCCTTGAAAACTCTGTGGAGAGGTTCTGGGGGTCAACACTGACTCACCGCGTCTGGGTTCGGGGGGACGGGGGGTGTTTAATAGGCCATTCTCCGGGAACAGCATCCTGGGTTGGGCGGCAGGGAGTCGGCTGACCAGTCTCCCATCCCCTCCTCAAGGCACCCCAATATCTTGCGCCTCTACAACTACTTCCATGATGCACGGCGAGTGTTCCTGATCCTGGAATACGCTCCAAGAGGGGAGGTCTACAAGGAGCTGCAGAAGTTCCACAGGTTCAGTGAACAGCGTACAGCCACGGTCAGGTTGCTGGGGGGAGGGGGGAGCGAATGCTGGGAGCTCTGCACCCCAGGGGGCCGCTGGCTGTAAGAGTGTCCTTTTCTGTTCTCCCAAGATCATTGAGGATCTGGCAGATGCCCTGTCCTACTGCCATGAGAACAGAGTGATTCACAGGGACATTAAGCCAGAGAACCTGCTGCTGGGGCTCTTGGGCGAGGTGAAGATTGCAGACTTTGGCTGGTCTGTACACTCGCCCTCTTTACGGTAGGTGGGGGGAGGGGGGAGGTGAGGTCCCAGTGCCCCTTAGGAATGACCTGGTTTAATAGTTTGATGTCTTTGAGCTGTGGGTGTTGGAGGAAAAAAGTACCAACTCTCCCCTGGACTGCAAAAAGAATGAATGGATAGGTCTTGGATCAAGTGCAACCAGAATGTTCCTTAGAGGCAAAGATGTTGGAAGCTTCATCTCACATACATTAACTCATCTCATGAATGTTAGCTACAATCCTGAGCCTGTTTTTATGTTGTTCATGTTGCTGGTGGCGCCTCTGAGTCCATTCCAATTCCTAGAAACCCTGTATACAGACAGCAGTGCTGCCTGAGCCTGCACCATTCTCACATTCCTTGATTGCAGCCACCAGGCCAATCCATCACTGGGGGCGAGGGGGTGTCCTATTTTTCTTTCCCCAGTAACCTTTTCCTTTATCAACATGATGTTCATCTTCAGGGATTGACCAATATGTTTTTAAAGAGTGGTTTATTTATACCTTCTGTTTTCCTTTTATTCATTTTAATGAAAGTTTACAGAGACTTAGGGTTTCCATTCACTCATTGTTGCACTTATCTTCCTGCCCACCCCTCCCTCCCAAGTCACTCTTCTCCTTGAAAAGTAAAAGAAAACCTCATTGTTAGGCAATCCCTCCCCCCAAGTCCACTTGCCTGTGCGGCCTTGATTCAGGACTCCTGTCATGACAGTAACACCTAATTCTATTGAAAGGTTTCCGGTCAAAGCCAAGAACCATGCTGAGGCGTTTATTGCACGCAGGCTACTCAGCAAGGGGAGTAGCATGGGGGGTTGGGCTCAAGGGGGTTATATGGGCTCGTTGCAGTGGCTCATTGCTGCATCAAGTTTCTGGTCTTGGAAAACTGATTCTGGGGAATGTCCTGACATAGAATTTCTGAGTTCTGGTTTCAGAAAAACGTCTTGGCATAGGATTTTCTGAGTTCTGGTTTTGGGGAATGTCCTGACCTAGGATTTTCTGAGTTCTGATTTCAAAAAGTGTCCTGACTTGGGATTTTCTGGTTTTGGAAAATATCCGGACACAAGATTTTCTGATTTCTGGTTTTGGAAAATATCCTGACATAAGATTTTTTAGTTGAGCTTCAACTTCCATTTTGATTTTTAGTTTAACATTCCCACTTTCGGGGCGATAGGGGGTGAGAAGGTCCTCTGGCTGCTTCCTGCTGGATGGGGGCATAGTGGGGTTTAAGGGAGGCGGGTATGTTATGCTGACTCATTTGGAGGGAGCGGTGTGTACTTCATCATGCACCGTTCACTGACGGTTTGATTTTCTACAAAAAAATTAGTAAAGATTTTGAGTAAACATGGCCCACAGGTTAATGCAAGAATAAACAGTGGTATTAAGAGGTGCGAAAGGAAAAAAAAGGTGCGAAAGGCAGTAGCCATGACGCCAGTGAAGGGAGGGTATGACGGAGAAGAGAGTTTATGGGTTAGGGACTACTGGATGTACTGGTTGTACGAAATTATTGATACCTCAGAGATCTTGCACAAGACAGTATAAGCCATCTGGTTTCTTTATTAGAAGTATAGGAGGTTTTGGGGGAGCTCTGGTGGCCTAGTGGCAAGAAACCACACTGCAATCCCAGAGGAACACGGTTCGAATCCACCAAACGCTCTGCCGGAGAAGGAGGCGCAATATCCTCCTGTACCAGTCAGATCTGATTTGACGGTACACACACACAAAACAATAATAAAAAAAAAAAACAAAAGGAAAAAAAAAGAAGTATAGGAGGTTTGTAAGAAGAATGCGAAGGAATTAAAAAACCGTTTTAAGGAACTTAATTATATTGGAAGTTTAGTCCTTTACTTCAATATTAATAGGAGTGTAATGTGTAGTTACTGATGGGTTAGAAGTATCTCAAACTGCAGGATCAACTTGATGGGGTGGTGATGGGGAAAGCGGAGGTCTGGGGAGAACTTTCTTTGAGAGTTAAGTCTAGAAGAAAAAGTTATATTGGCTGGGGGTGAAAGTGAGGTTCATAGAAGCTTTAAATTTGCTTAAAATATCTCAGCCTAGTAGAGGAGTGGAGCATTGCAGTATTATGAGGAATTGATAAGTAAACGGTATATTTTGAAATAAGCATAATAAGGGAAGAATAATGCATGGACTGGTAATTTCCCTGTTACTCTCACTATGTCGACTTGAGAGAATATTGGTCCATATTTGGAGAATTTGAGAGCACCTCTGGTCAAAAATAGGCTGTTTTGAATGCTGAGTCAAACAGGATAGCCTTGGTGGAGGTCCAGTCTTGAATTGGGACAGGGGTGAGAATCTTATCTGTATTGGATGGTCAGGTGCACACCTAGCAGGAGGACCACCGTGAGTTCACTTGGAAAAGCAGTGCGGCAGGACTATTACTGATAGAAAGGATGAGAGAGTTCAGAGAGAGTGTCAGTGATCATTATGGAAAAGATGATGAAGAACGGAGATCTCATATTTAGGGAAGAAAGAATAGTCAGAAAGTTTGAAAAGATATTTGGTCAGAGGCAATGTCTTGGAGAAACCCCTGTATCCAGAGATCAGTGGTGGAGGAGAGCAACTGATCTATAGTGTGGAGGGGGTTCCTAAGATTGAGTCCTAAGATTCAATTAGTATTGAAAAGGGAGAAAGAAAGACTGGAGAGCTCATTAGGATTGGATCACACTGGAGTCTAGTTCTAAATAGGAGTGGAATTGCTGGATCAAATGGTGGCGTTTTTTTTTCATTGCAAACACATTTTATAAGAAACATAAACACACGCTATACACGGGGATTTCACCTGATGGTATTCATAGGAATCAGATCTATTTTATCTGTGGAAAGAATCACTGGAGAAACTCAATATCAGCTGTGAAAACTAGGCGAGGTGCTGATTGTGGAACAGACAACCAACTACTTATATGCAAGTTCAAGCTGAAGTGGAGGAAAATTAAGTCCACAGGAACCAAAATTTGACCTTGAGTCTGTTCCACCTGAATTTTTTTTTAATTTAACAAATGTTTACAGAGACTTTGCATTTATAGTCATTGTTCCATTTTTCTCCCTTCAAATGGTATTTGTATTTGCAACTTTTAGAGAAAGCACCATACAGGCTTCCATAATGGTTGCACCATTTTACACCCACACAGTGAATAAGGGTTCCAGTTTCTCCACAACCTCGCCAGCATTTGATGGTTGCTGTTCTGTTAAATTTTGATATTCTTACTGTGGTGACAAGATATCTCATAGTTGTCTTGATTTGCATCTCTCTTTGAGCTAGGGATTTTGAACATTTTTTTCATGGGCTTGTTGGCCATCTGTCTTCTTTGGTGAAGTGTCGGTTCATATGGATTATTTCCCTTTATCTTGTTGTGGTGATACTCTGTTTTCTGATCTATATTAATATGTAACTTAAAAGTTTCCATGTAAATCAATAAGAAATTTGTTAATGTGATTCTTGTGGTAGATGATGTTATGTGCTGTCGAGTTGCCTGTGACTCATAGCGACCATGTGTACAAATCTAAACCTTGCTCTATCCTTTGCCAATCTCATTGCCTCTGGCAGACTTATCCCCATGACCCATCACTGAATCAATCGGTCTCTTTGAGAGACCGATTGCAACATGTCCGAAGTATGTCAGATGAAGCTTCAGAATCCTTGCCTCCAAGGAGGAGCCTGATTTCAATCTCTCTAGGATGAACCTGTTCTCTTAGCAATCCATGGTCTATTCAATACTCTTTTCCAACACCACAGCTCAAAGCCATCAATTCTCCTAACATCCCTAGTCATTGACCATGGCCTGTATCAGGCACTCCTTAGTCTCCAGAGTGACATCATTGATCTTCGGTATTTTGGAGAGGTCCCTGACGGCAGACTCTCCCATCACATTACGTCTTTTATTTGCCTGTGGTATATGACTAAACCATAATGTAGTGATCCCTTCCTGATGCACTGTCTATTCCAAATTATTCGCTTGATGCCTTTGCTATTCTTGTGCAAGCATCCTTGATCATGAACAAAAGAAAAGCGTAATCCTAAACTACAGGATTAATGGGTCTAAGGGCCTGCCTTTCTGGGACCTAGATCCCATGTCAAAAAAGCATTCATGGTTGTTCACTCAGAGCTGACCCTCCACTGGGTTTCTGAAGCTGTCCATCTTTCTCCCATGGAATTGCTGGTGGATTCCAACAGCCAAAGAGGTGTGACTGTTGAGTTATCAGTGCAGTCCCCTGTGCACTGTACCCTAGAACTGTCACAACGGCTCTCAGCGTGGTAGATAAGTGTGGTGATGATACAGATGAGGGCTAGGTTCCAAGTGGTTCTTTCTAGGGCCGCTATGACTTGTAGTCACCAGTGGCCAACAGCAGATCTCATCAGACCAAACAGGAGTGCTGTGTAGGGAAGTAGACATTGGACCTTTGCATACACCTTCAGCATTGAGATGGTTCTGAGGTCCCCTTTGCCCTCCTCTAGGAGAAAGACAATGTGTGGGACTCTGGACTACTTATCTCCAGAAATTATCGAGGGGAGAACCTACGACGAGAAGGTGGATCTGTGGTGCATCGGTGTGTTGTGCTATGAGCTCCTGGTGGGCACACCCCCCTTTGAGAGCTCTTCACAGTCTGAGACCTCCAAACGCATCCTCAAGGTAGGGTGACCCCATCTGGGCTTCCCTTGGCGAGCCAGATGGCAATGACTGGCAGACCTGAGGTGGATGGGGCACACAGTGATTGCCTGGTCATGCCCATCACAGTCACTTGAGTGGACTCATGGGAGAGGGAAAAGGTTAAGCAAAGAAATGACCCTATTTTCACACACAACACACACGGGCATTATGTGTACATAGACCATAAAGGGGTGATTGTGGGTTGCGAAACCCTTGCAGCACGTGCTGTTAAAAAGAACAGTCACCTGACTTGTTTCTTCTCTGGCTCATCAGGTGGACATGACTTTTCCTTCCTTCGTGCCCTCTGGGGCCCAAGATCTAATCTCCAGGCTGCTCAGATACAATCCCTCCGAGCGACTTCCACTGGACCAAGTCCGGAAGCACCCCTGGGTGCAGGCCCACTCTAGGAGGGTGTTGCCTCTCCCTGCACAGATGACTTCCTGAGTCCTGCCTGTCCTGTCCCTTTGTGTTTGCTCAGACAGCCTGCCTGGCTTTGCCACTTCCATCTTTTTGTTGTTTGGGCTGATTTGGGTTTGGTTGTTTGGGTTTTTTTAACCTTTTTTTTACTGAAATATGCTAATTAATAAAAAGCGGAATAATTTTGTAGCAGTGTTTTATGATCTTCTGTGTCTTTTGGCGGGCTTGCACTTTTCTTCTTTGGTAAAGTTCATTGTGTTTTGGGTAGAAACATGCACAGCAAACTAGGTTCCCATTCAACAGTTTCTACATAGACTTCTTCAGTGCCAGTGGCCTCTCTATAATAAATCTTTTCATCTTTTTATTCTGATTGTCCACCTTCTTATAGTGGAGCTGTGTCCCCTTCCCAAATGAATAGGAATACCTTGCTCTCAAGAGTTTCAGCCTAGAGACACTTTTAAACTTTTAAGTCTGCCTTGGTGGCTTTCTAGGTGTTGAGTTATCTAAGATGAAATAAAACACAAAGCTAGGTTAAGTTAAAAGATCATGATAAACTCGGAAAACCATGGAGAAGCAATCTTCCATTTCAAAGTAACTGTGATGGCTGGATTTAAAGTAGCTGGCCAGTGTCTTCTCTCCAGTTCGCCAGGAGTTAGAAGGGCACTTCTCCACACTTGTCGAGTGCCGTCCTAATTGCGTTCCCAACAGGAGATAGGCTCAGGGTTCCCTGCGTCTGGAGCCTCCCCAGGAAAGATGCCCAACTCCTGGCTGGATGAGAGAGGGGGTGGGGAGAGACCAACTACGTTACCCAGGAGAGGGAGACCAACTACATAACCCAGAAGACCTTGCACGCACGTAGGCGGGCGGGACTTCCTGCCATTTGTGACGTCATCCGAGCGGGACGCTCACGCACACTCCGGGGGCCGGAACTGGGTTCCCAGTGGCCTCCCCACTTTGTGGGACCGTCTCCCCCGCGCCTTAGAAGCGGCCGCGGCCCTCGAGGGACACGCGTGTCCCCCGTGGCCTCCTCACCGGTCCTCGGGGGGCCCCTGTTGCCGCTGCCCCGGTGGCGGCGCCCTGTCCCTTCGGCCCCTTTCCCACGGGGAGCAGTTATTCGTCCCGGGTGTGGAGCCGCCCCGGGGCCCGCCAGCCTCTCCGGGCACCGCCGCTTTGTCCGCAGGTCCCACGGAGGTGACTGGGACTGGGCGCAGGTGGGGGCGGGTCCAGGTGGGGGCGGGCTGGGGGTTAGGGATTGCTTTGCGGCTGGGTCCAAGCTGCCCGGGCTACCGGGTCGGAAGCCTCTGGCTCTCTCTGCTACCGTGTCGCTGGCTTGTCAGGGTTTTTGTCCCAGGTCTAGAGGGGTGTCACGAGCAAGGTGGTGGAAGGGTTAAATGAAAGGACCCGGCCGATTTCGGGAAGGTGAGCTGATTGAAACTGCTGTAGGACCAGGCGCGGTGGGCTCCTTGTATCGACAGCTCTGAAAACCCAAAGGGCAGTTCTCTAATCACATCGGGTCGGTGTGAACCAGAACTGATTTGGTGGCGCCTGGACCACGGTGGAGGCATGTCTGGCCTCTGACAGGGGGCGGGTTAGGATGGGACGAATGAGGCCAACACCCCAAGCCCCAACCCACTACCCGTCTGCCCACCCCAAACCTTGACCCCTTTCCATTCTTCCCGGTTCACAGCCCCCACAACCCTCAAGTTGTTCAGCTCTCTTCCCTGCCCAGCTTTACCCTTGGTCCCCTCTGCCTCATACATTTGCCTCTGGCCTCCCCTCATATCCCCTGGCTGCTGCTTAGATGTCACTTTTAGCAAGATGTTTTCCGGAAGTTGGGGAGCACTGTAGCATGACTCTTGGCAAGCTGTGCTACTTGCCCAAAGCCTCTGGGCGTCTTGAATCCACAGGACAGGCAGCCGCCTGCGCTAGGATTTCCCACTGCAGAGGGTCACCAGGAGTCAGGGTCAAATCAACAATGAGGTTTTGAGGGGATTTCTAGTGTTTCTTCGATGTTTGGAGTCTCTGGGTGGTGCAAGCATCTTCTGCTCGTTGATTGGCCCAGAGGTTGGCAGCCGTCCACATGAAATCAGACAGCGTGGACCAATCATATTCAGTTGCTGTCATGGTTTCTGGGATGGCAGTTAGGATGTTACCATCGTCCTTTTCTGCTGACATTTCATGAGGCTTGCCCTCCCGTTCTCTTCACGACTTCCCAGCTTGGATGCATCTCTCTGTTGACATCTCTGTGTGCTGTCCTGTCAGTTTTGACTTCATCATCCCCTTGCCATACTAGTCCCTCACTCAGTGCTCAGGTCCCTGACTCGCCTGCATCTCGGTCATTGACAGGAAACAGGCTCTTCTCCCATCTGGAAGACTCCAGACCACAATGCTGCCTCTCTTTGACTTGCCAGGTGTCTGTGACCTCAGAGAAGTTAGCTGTGCCCTTCGTCTGGCCAGAGTGGGGACAGCTATAATTGGCCCCAAGGGCCCTGGACTTGGAGGTGGAGCTGGAGACTTCTGGGCCCCTGCCGTTGCTGGGTAAGGCCTCACTTCAGTGTGAATGCTATTTTCATTTTCACATTTAATAAGCATGCTACTGGCATCTTGTGGGAAGGGGCCCAGCTGACATCTTAAGACACTCACAGCCGCCTGACAACAGATATAAAACAATTCAAAATCTAAAAAGTGCTGGGTTTGAGAAACCCTAATTTAGGGAGTTCTTTGCTGTAATGTAAGAACTGATATAAACCGTGGAGTTTTAGAGGAAACAGGAATAGCGGTCTAGACCATGTTTCAAAACTCAATTTGAAATGGTGTTGTTAACTGTGTCAGAGCCTGCCTGACTTCTGGAGGATTGGCCTGCTTTGGCCCCCCGTGTCTTGCAGGCCAGGCATACTTCCACCTGCCAGCCTTTTTTGTTTTTTTAAGTCAGTCCTGTCACAAGCTGCCCTTCTCCATGTCATTCTCTGTTTCTCAGCTGCGTCTGATAGTTCCTTACAGTTGGCCACACAACGCTTGCACACCGTTTGCTGTCGTTCTGTCCCTCTTCTTGGCAACCCCGTGTGTAACAGAGTGAAACCGCGTCCAGTCAGGCACAATACCCGCCCTGCCCAGGCCTGTCGTTGTGGTCAGTGTGGTAGTCTGTCTCACTGAGGGCCTTCCTCTGTTTTGTTGACCCCGCCACATTTCCAAGCAGGATGTCCTTTTCCGAGGACTGGCCCTTCCTGACAAGGTGCCCAGAGGATGTGAGAGAAAGTCTCAGGACAGTTAAATGATCTGTTAAGAGAGCAGCAGAGCACAGTTGAAATCGGGGCTTGTTGTTGCTGTTGTTATTAGGTGCCGTTGAGTCGTAGACGACTCATAGCGACCCTGTGAACTGAGAGGCCTGCGCACTGTTTGTACGTAGAGTTTCCGGAGGCAAGCCATTTCGGAAGTGGATGCCGCTCCTGCTTCCAGGCTTGTTTTATCGGGAAGCTCCAGCCAACGCGAAATCGGGGCTACAGGGCTCCAACTCAGTGTCAGGATCGAGACCCTTGCAGACAGTCAACAAGACCTCTTTCTTAGGTATGTATTTTTGGCACTGATTTATGTAAATTCTAAAATCAGCCGAAAACCCAGAACAAACCTAGTTGGAGTTTTCCATAAAGTTGTATTGAATGTGTCTGTTGACTTAAAGTAGACTTCACCTTTATAGTATTAACTTTCTATTTTTATAAATACCTTTTACTGTCTTGGAGTGATAGGTGTCAGTTTTATTTATCTAGTTGTGTCTGTTGTACTAATTGTACCTGGCTGTGTAGGACACACCTTCACCTTGACCTTATAGCCCTTTCCTGGAAACTGTGTTGGGTGTATCCACCACCCACCATCGCCTGCATTGTGGCCTGTGTCCACCCTCACCAGTACTATGGCCTGTACACATCCTCACCTGTATTCCGGCCTGTGCCCACCCTCACCCGTACTAGGGCCTTAGCCTCTCCTCCAACTTGCTTCAGTCTATTTTCTCAACAGCACCTGCCTCTCTGCCTTGCTCTTTGCAGGGTTCTTTAAATACTCTGCAGACTTTGGACATCTGTCTTTGAAGGCCACAGTGCCCTCCCCAGTCTTACCTGGCACCTTTTTTTCCCTGTACAGAGGTGGGACACCTGCTCTGGGAAGTGCCCTGATCTGTTCCTCTCATGTCTGGGATTCAGAACCTGCCATTTCTTTGTGTGCTCATCTCGTGGAGAGCACACTCTTCACACGCTCTTAGTACAACTGTGTCCATACACTCCCTGGACGTTGATGGGTCATTTCCCTGCTACTTCCTCTCCCACAGGTCTCCCTTCCAGCCTAGGAAAGGGAGAAGGACCACGATGGAGAGAACCGGGCAGGCTGGGTCTCAGAGATAGCAAAACTGTGGGCACAGAGACCTTATTTTTATTTTCCTGATGAAGGTTCTATTTGTTCTTTGTTGGCGTTATTAATAGGACCTTTGGCACATTCATTATCTTTCAGGGGGAAAAGCAAGACTTGAGACCACAGAGCTGACTGCTCCGGAGCTGCCCCTATCTGAGGAGCCCTCAGACGCAGGGAGCCGCCAGGAACTCCTGGCTGGGGTGAGACCAAGGTCAGGAGGGGGCCACCAGAAATGCAGGACCAACACCTGAGACCAGAGGCAGACCCCCAGAAGGAGCAGCTCCCTGGGAAAGCGAGCCCTGAACATGTTGGTGTGGGGACAGGTGATGGTGTGCGCTCACAGGCCGTACAGGAGTGCATAGACGCTGTCCGCGAGGGGGACTCAAGTAGACCCCCTAAAGGTGCGGTGGCTCAGGGAGAGGGACAGCCCTACGTCTGCAGGGATTGCGGGAAAGCCTTTAGCAGGAGACACCTCCTTACGCAGCACGAGCTGGTTCACTCCAGAGTGAAGCCCTTTGAGTGCACCGAGTGTGGAAAGACCTTTAGCAAGAGCACAACCCTCCTTCAGCACCACGTCATCCACACCGGCGAGAAGCCCTACGAGTGCGCCGAGTGCGGGAAGGCCTTCAACCAGCGGGCACACCTCACGCAGCACCAGCGCATCCACACGGGCGAGAAGCCCTACACGTGCAGCGACTGCGGCAAGGCCTTCACGCACCACTCCACCTTCGTCCTGCACAAGCGCAGCCACACGGGCGAGAAGCCCTTCGCCTGCAAGGAGTGCGGGAAGGCGTTCCGGGACCGGCCGGGCTTCCTGCGCCACTACACCATCCACACGGGAGGCAAGCCCTACGAGTGTGGCGAGTGCGGCAAGGCCTTCAACCACAGGTACGAGCTCATGCGGCACCAGCGCGGCCACGCCGAGAAGCAGCAGTTTGAGTGCCCGGAGTGTGGGAAGGCCTTCAACTACAGGTCCCACCTGGCCCAGCACCAGCGCGTCCACACTGGGGAGAAGCCGTACAAGTGCGCCGAGTGCGGCAAGGCCTTCAACCAGCGGGCACACCTCACGCAGCACCAGCGTGTCCACACAGGCGAGAAGCCCTACGCCTGCGGCGAGTGCGGGAAGACCTTCGCCCACCTCTCCACCTTCGTCCTGCACAAGCGGAGCCACACGGGCGAGAAGCCCTACGCCTGCGGCGAGTGCGGGAAGACCTTCGCCCACCTCTCCACCTTCGTCCTGCACAAGCGGAGCCACACGGGCGAGAAGCCCTTTGAGTGCAAGGAGTGCGGGAAGGCGTTCCGGGACCGGCCTGCCCTGTTCCGACACTACAGCATCCACACAGGCGAGAAGCCCTACGAGTGCATCGAGTGTGGCAAGGCCTTCAGCCGCAAGGCGCACCTCACGCAGCACCGGAGGACGCATGCCGGTGCAAGAAGCCCTGTCAGTGTGACAGACGTGGGAAGACCATTCACGAGTGGGCACAGCTCAGTCAACTTGCAGGGACTCCTCCTGGGGGTGGACTTTCTAGGTGTAACCACTGACGAAAACCTTTGGCCCCAGGAACCGTCTTTCTCGGCATCCGATGGTCCTTGCCAAAGGGAACATTCCCAGGTGTCATCCCTGTGAGGAAGTGTTCTGGGCAGGTAACCGCTTCACCTCAGAGTCCTGTTAGGAATTGGTCCACTTAGAACTGATGTTTTGGGGTGGCTTTAAAGTCCAGTCGTGTATCAGAAAATTCGTGCAGGAGAGAGACCCAGTGTGGTCACTATGTACTTGGGGAAGCCTTCAGCCACGTGTTTCTAAGTTTATATTCTGCACTGCTATCTCAGGAATATTTCAACCAAGACAGAAGATGCATAGAAGTATAAATGGAAAATTCTCCTTCTCCCCCGTCCCCCCCCCCCCCGCCCTTCAACAGCATACTACACTTTGTTATTGATTCCTTATTTGAGGACAGGGGATTGAACAACATTTTCGAAAGTTCAAGCACTCTCCTGTTAGGGATTGGGTGCTGTCCATGCCCATGGAGTTTTATCTGTTGAAGGCAGCTCTGGGACAGTTTGCTGAAAAGCCTTTTATGTTGAGCAACACTGTCCTACCCTCGATTCAAAATAAATCTGTACCAGAAAATGGGAAAGTTTTATGTCATGGAATAGTTTGTAACTGAATAGAAGATTGACAAGTTGTTACAGGGTGTTGAGAGAGAACCAGCTTATACTTGACCCTCCAGCACGTTTTCAGAACTTGTAAATTGCACAGGAGGAAACAGACCATCTTTCTCCCTGAAACCATCTGTCTTTGGACTGACAGGCCACCACAGCTCCCTAAAGAATGATATGCAGGCAGGAGTACTATAGAAAAACAAATACTTCATATTTTTCCAATCACCCACCATTTACCGTTTTAAAAATTCTATTTTATTGTTTTCTAATTTCTATTCCTTTTGTACTATGTAGATAACGGCACAGTGTGTGACCTTCCCTGAGAAATCAAAACATTTCTCTCACTGGGCATATCAGGTCTTTATTGCTCCATATAAACATTTCTCCAAATTTACCCTGACATTTTTCTAGAGGTCTCATCAACATGAAAATAAAACACAAGTTAGAAGGCCATGATGATAAAAAAAGGAGAAGGAATTATAATTTTTTCTTTCTTAAAAAACTGTATGAAAGTCTTATGTTAAAGTGACTGGATGAGGAACCATGATCTCACCCTCAGCTTTATGTGCTGTCATGGATTGACTTGTGTTCCCTGACCCAAACTGTGTGGCTGTTTGGTGGGGCCATGATTCTCAGAGGTTTGGCAGTACTATAATATGGTGCCCGTGTAACAGTCCCCAGGATGTGATCTGATGTGATAAGCCAGTGAGTGAGTCATCACAGGATTAAGGGTGGGAAGCCTTACTTCTGTCACCACCCTGAGTGAGTCCAAGAAGAGCTAGCTTTTGACCTACTACACCCGTGGTCTTCCAGAAGATAAAGAACTGAGAGGGACCTGCTGCCACCTGTCAGAAGAGCCAGTTTTGAAGTGTGTCTTAGACCTGAGATCTTAGAGCTAAAAATCTGCTCACCTAAGGGGAAGACCAAGACACATGGGCTCTCCAAAGAACAAGGGGATCCCCGATTTCAGAGACAAGGGTCATCTAGTGTTTACCAGACCTGACACTGAATTCAGTGATACAGCCTTCCTAGATGGTGAGAGAAGAAAGTGCTGCCCACTAATAAATAGAGCAGCACTCGGTAACTAAGACGTGGAAAGAATAGGGGCTCCAAATAACCACAGTAATTTTGAAGAACAAAGTAGTAGGCCTGACGTTTTTGCTTTTTTGACACTGGCTTCCTGACAGCTGCTGTCATGGGCGTGACTGTGGATCCAAGTGAAAGGGTCACAACTTTAGTCTTTTGACAACTTTAGTCTTTTCCGCCTTTGTTGTGATGGCATTTATTGGTCCAGTTGTGAGGATTTGTATTTATGTTGAGGTACAGTTTATATCTGTGGCTGTGGACAGTCCTTGGTCTTCATCAGTAAGAGCCTCAGCCCCTTTCCGTTTGGAACAAGAAAGTTGGTTTTTATACAATCTGCGTATGGCAAGTTATTTAAAAAATAGTATAAAGAGGTTCTGCTTACCAGGCAAGTTTTCCAGTAGTGGTATTAAATTCCTATGGTGGAACAACGTTGACATTTTTAGCTCTTGGGATTGAATAGCTGTGAATGGGGAATTCTCCATTAATTGCTTTCATGATGTATTTCCCTTAAGCGGTTGTACTATTCTCAAATAAACTCTTTGCTATATTTTAACATCATTTTAGTTGGTGTGTGTGTGAGAGAGAGAGAGTGAACAGGGTCCAGGGGGCCTATCACTGGCACCTGGATTCGAGGGGTCTGGACTCCAGTGACACAGAGTGGATAGAGATGTCCATTCCCATTCCCATGGCATCTCGGGTTGTCTCTGGTAAGTGACCGCATATCTGAGACTCTACATCCTTACTTTGAAATTCTCCAAGATTATTGTGAGATTTCTTCTTTGTGGAGTTATTTTTATTCTTTTGTGCACTTTAAGCACCCTCTACTAAGGACTCTGCTAGACGTTACTGTCCTAAGGATTTCAAATTAATTCAGACTTCTTTTTTGAACATAGGAAATGCTGGTTCCAAGCGCAGAGCAGACCCTCACTCTCATCTTTGTCCAGTATTATATGAATAATTTTGGTCTTACACCCTGTGCTTTTCAGTCTGTCTAACATTTCTTTAATAAAGACAGTATGGAGACTAAAGGACCACTATGGGCATCAGTTGATCCTTCTAAATGAAACTTCCTGTACAGTAAATTAGACATTGAAGGCTCTTGTATTAACCAAAATGAATTAGATTTTCTCTCTCATGAATTCTACCTAAGGGCTCTAAGACATCAAGTTAGTGAAATTACTTCTTTGTGTGATACTATTTCCAAATTAGTAAGTAATTAAGAGTCAGTGTTGAGACTCTCCTACCTGACTGTCTGCTCTGCTACCCTTCTCTTCATACCCTATCCAAATATTTTTTCTGAGCTGCTTTTCTGTTAAGTTCAAACTAATATTTCTTAAAGCACTAATTTTCAAATTTCCTTTGAAATTAAGACCAGTAAAATGAAGCCCAAAATCTCTGTAAATGTTTATGAAAATTAATAAAATATAGAAAAAAAAAGACCAGTAAAATGGATTCACATTAATAGTTTAAAAGATCATTTTTAGATCCATGTTGAAATACAATGTTGTGAACAACAGGATTATATCCATATAAATACAAGGAAGACCTGTTAATACCATTAGCATTCAAATATATGCACCAACAACCAGAACCAAAGAGGAGGAAATAGATGATTTGTACCAACATTTGCTGCCAAAAACCTATTAAACATGCAACCAGGAAACATGAAAAATATAGGTGACTGAATGTAAAAGTTAGGAACAAGGGTTGGTACTCAGAAAACATCGAGTTGGTGACAGAAATGAGGCTGGAGATAGAATGGTAGAATTTTGTACAATCTGATTTATTCATTGTGGGTACCTTCTATAAGAAACACAAATAGCAGTCGTACACCTGTGCCTCACTTGATGATCTACACAGGAATCAAATTGATGTATCTGTGGAAAGAATTGTTGGAGAAGCTCACTTCTCAGACTGTAACTGACCATCAACTACTCACATGCAAGGCCAAGCTGAAACTTAAGAAAATTTAAATACACAAAATCCAAAATTTGACTTTGAGTCTGTCTCACCAGAATTTAAAAACCATCTCAGAAACAAGTTTGATTCCGTGGACACTAATGAACAAAGATCAGATGAGCTGTGGAAGGATATCAAGAATATCATCCATGAAAAGAATGCAAAAAGGTCATTACAGAGCCAGAGGAGGAGGAAGAAAAGACTGAGATGGATGTCAGAAGAGACTGAATATTGCACTAGAATACCAAGAAGCCAAAGCAAAGGGAAGAAATCAGCAAATTAAGAAGGTGAAAAGATTTCAAAGGGCAGCGTGGGAAGACTAAGCAAAGTATAATGACATGTGCAAAGAGCTAGAGAGGAAATCTAGGGATGAACTGGTTCAACATTTCTTAAACTGAAGGAACAAACTCAAGTCTCGAGTGGCAATACTTACAGATGCTGAGG